AGTGGTCGCTCCCGATGAAGGTGATCAGCACGACACGGACGCAAGTAGAAGTTGAGAGGTACGGACAGCCAGGCTCGACGTTCCAAGTACATAAGGACAAAGTCCGCAGGTTCGAAAGAAGCAAGGACCCGGAGCTGGAAGCCATCACGCAACAGTACTCCGAGAACCTCGACGAAGAAACGGTGACACAGCAACTTGGGATAAGCGGTGGTAAACGACCACGCATCACGATAAATCCAGAGACACGAGAAGGACTAGAGAAGTTCCTAGGCATTCACCCCAATTCCTTCTGAGCTAGGAGGGGCGTGAGCCGTCCGGAGACACAACGAGCTCAGAAGAGATTGTCGACAATAAAAGAGGGAGGGGGGAATTTTTACACAAAACCTACAAGTGATGCTCAACCTACATTCCGATGCGACGACCAGTAATGTGGAGCTCTCTCCACGCGGGGACGCCCTCGGCGGTACCACGTGTCCTCAACCCATCCCGGACAACCCAGTTGGCTTTCAGTTGTTATGTCTCGCCCGCCGAAGCTTTTTATTTGGTATGTTTTTCTCTATTTGAGCTCCTCCGGCGAGAGCATCGTCTAGAGTTGTTGAGAAGTTGTTCTCCTGCCTGAGAGCAGCTTCTCTTGACTCAAAGAGGTCAGAAGTGGAATTCACCTCGTCGGAAAATATGTGTGCGCGTGTTTGTACACACACTTTTGTGCGCGCACCGTGAGTCACCCAAATCGGCTCTCTGCCTCAGAAATCACCAATCAAGCATTGAGTGACTCGGGGACACTTCTTATTGAATACCTCACCATCACCCCCTTGTCCACGAGTCAATGACCGGGTCCTGCGCTTACGGTCGTAGCTGTAGAGCAGTTCCCAAGTCGCTCGATGCTCTTCCGGAATGGAAGAGCCCAAAGATCTCAAGGTGGATATCGGTCGAGAGATTGGTTTCCCATCGTACCACACCGGACTAAGCGTAGCCGTGGCGTGCGCGATCCCCACGATCCGTTGTGGAATGGCGTTCTTTGGTCGAATCGTGGTGAGCCCGGATAGGTGTCGGTAGGCACGAGCCTCAATTTCATCCAGTGGAAAGGTCACAACTTCTCCCACCTTTGGCCGCCGTTCCAGTGATCCCGAATCATGGAATTGTTCAAGTGCCGCAAGGGACAATCGACATTGCAAACCCAAAACTTGGTTAACTCGTCGTTGGTTCTCGTTCTCCGTCTCAAGTTGTTGCCATCCAATCATTCGTGGCTCCATTCCCGTCAAGCAGCAAATCGGGGAACAGCCCAAACCTTCGTGCGGAGTGCTATTATGGGCGAATACCGCCATTGACAGCAGGACCTCTGGATGTAGGGAGCTGGCGTCCCTGTTCGTCGCTGAACAGTGATTGATGAATCGGTGCGAAGATTCGTTGAG